TCAGCCCTTTTGTAAACTGATTTGTCCACTGGTTTCCTGAACTCACATGAACTGTACTTATCACTCCACTGATCACCTTTTCTCTTACAAAGTGGTAGTCAACTTCGATATGCTTTGTTCTCTCGTGAAAGACTGGATTAGAAGAAATGTGGACAACAACTTGATTATCGTAGTACAACCTCATAGGTCTGTCAATTGAGAACCCCATTTCTTGCAAAAGATTTTTCAGCCACACTGGTTCACATGTAGTATGAGTCATGGCCCTGTACTCGGCCTCAACATTGCTTCTTGCCGCCGCTGTTTGTTTCTTGCTCTTCCAAGTTACTAGATTGCCACCAAGGAAGGTACAATACCCTGTAGTGGATCTCCTGTCAAACATAGGTCTGGCCCAGTCAGCATTTGTGTACCCTCTATTCTCAAGAGTTCCTCCACTCTTGTATAACAGCCCACGACCTGGAGCTCCTTTCAAGTACCTAACAATTCTTAGGACCACTTCCCAATGTGGAACTCTGGGATGTTGCATAAACTGACTTACCATGCTTACAACAAATGGTATATCTAGCTGAGTAATAGTCAGGTAGTTCAATTTACCCACCAACCTCTTGTACCTTCTAGGATCATCAAACTTTTCACCTACATCAATACTCAACTTGACATTTGGTTCCATTGGTGTTTCAGCTGGTTTGGCACCCAACAACCTTGTTTCTTCAAGTAAATGAAGGACATACTTTCTTTGACACAAGTTAATGTCATGCCTTGACCTTGCAACTTCTATCGCCAAAAAATATTTCATCTTACCCAGATCTTTTGTGTGGAAGTAGTCTTGTAGAAAGTTTTTCAACATGTCAATCCCATTGCTGTCACTACTAGTTATGACAATATCATCCACATACACCACTAACAAGATTTTCCTAGCTTCTAATTCATGGCTGAACATAGAATGGTCTACCTGGCACTGTCTCATGCCAAAGTCCTTCACTACTTCATTGAATCTGCAAAACCACGCACATGGAGATTGTTTTAGTCCATAAATCACCTTCTTAAGTCTGCAAACTTTACCATCCTCCCCCTGGGCAACAAACCCTAGTGGTTGCTCCATATATACTTCCTCAACAAGATCACCATGTAAGAAGGCATTTTTGATGTCAAGTTGAAAGAGGGGCCAATCATACATTGCTACTAAAGAAATCAACACCTGAACTGAACCAATTTTAGCTACATGAGAAAATGTCTCTGTATAGTCAACACCATATAACTGAGAATAGCCTTTGGCCACTAACCTGGCTTTCAACTGTTCCACACTACCATCTGGAAGATATTTCAATGTGTAGACCCACTTGCATCCAACAACAAGCTTACCAGGAGGAAGAGCGGTAAGTTCCCACGTGTGATTGTGTGCCAGTGCAGGTGATTCCTCTTCCATTGCTTGCCGCCACCCTGGCGAAGTGATGGCTTCTTGGACAGTCTTAGGAGTGGAAACAAATGATAGCAAGGATATAAACTGTCGATGGGAAGCAGAAAGGTGAGCAACATAAACATAATGAGAAATAGGATGAGATGTACAACTATGTTTACCTTTCCGTAATGCAATAGGAAGATCAAGGTTAGAAGGAGGAGGTGCAATTGCAAGATCCGTCGACGAAGGTTGAACTGGAGGAGGGGCTGGTGATCTTCTGTGAGTACACACTTGTGTGATTGGTGGCCTTTCAGTATTAACCTGCATTGGAGAAGACGACGACTGAGATAGAATAGGAATAGTAGGAAAAGGGTCCTTAACTGGAATTGGAAGTGGAAACATAGGGGCAGGAGGAGGAACATCAACACTCGAGAAGAATGGAACAAACTCAAAGAAAGTGACATTAGAACACACAAATGACCAATAAGAGCTACGGTTATAACACTTATACCCTTTTTGGGTTCTAGAGTAGCCAAGAAAGATGCATTTTGTAGCACGTGCATCTAACTTGTCCAGTCTAGGCTCTAAATTCTGAACAAAACAAACACGACCAAAGACTTTGGGAGTAAGAGGAAATGGAGAAAGAGCAGGGAACAAGACTAGGAAAGGAGATTGATTCCAAGGATAGACATGGGCATCTGATTGATGAGAAACCATGACGTAAGGACAACATCACTCCAAAAACACTTTGGAACATTCATATCAAGCATAATAGACCAAGCATTTTCAAGTAAGTGTCGATTCTTCCGTTCAGCCACGCCATTCTGTTGTGGGGTATAAGAACAAGAAGTTTGGTGAATTACAAAGTACTTGAATAATCATTAACAAAAATTACAAAATACTTGTAACCATTGTACGAAACTACTTTATTTGGACGCCAAACATTTGAATGAACTAAAGAGAAATGATTCAAATCACGATTATCAACTCTAGGACTAAAAGAGACTCTATGGTGTTTCCCAAGCTGGCACGACTCACAATCCAATGATGGAAGATGGCTTAAAGACGAGATTAGTAACTTCAGGGCCTTGACCGACGGATGACCAAGTCTGTAGTGCCACTAGAGAGGATTGAAGAGCTACTTTCGGACCACCACCATCAAGGTAATACAATCCACCTGCCTCATGCCGTCCACCTATCTTCATCCACGTCTTGAGATCCTGAAACACACAAGAAGAGGGATAAAAGGTTATAGAACAAATTATTGACTCGGTTAATCTATTAATAGACTTAAGATTAAAAGGGAACTTGGGTACATATAAGACAAAGGATAAAGGTAAGGAGGTAAGATCAACATCACCAACACCACAAATGAGCAGTGTTTTAAAAGCGCAAGGCACAGGGGCCATTTTGTGCCTAGGGCACAAGGCGAGGCGGGTGCCTTTTTGAGGCAAGGCGCACAATTTAAAAAAAAAAAGATAAAAATTCAAAAGAAATGCAAAAAATGCAAAAAATTCAAAAAAAAAAATAAAAAAATTATAAAACTTAATATTAATAAAAATATTAACTTAAGTTTTAAAATAAATGTTTTAAAAACCTATTATCTAAAATAAAATACATAAATATAATATGTAAAGCATATTCAAATGAGAATTTAAAAATGAAATCAAACATATAAAATATTTTCAAGCATATAAAACCCACAAACTCTTTTTTTTCTCAATTGTATCAAGTAGCTAATGTGACATATTACATTCCTAATTCTACGAGCCGCCTTTGTGCCACGCCCCTCAAGAATCTCCTATTTGATAATGTTGTTCATTCATTCATCCTAATAAAATATCTTCTTCAAAGCAATTAAAACTATAAAGTTATTATTTTTTGCGTGAAATCTAAGAATTTAAGACCCTAACATGGACTTGTTTGGGCTGGCCTCAAGGGACGTGGCATGAGGAAAATGGGAAAAGCGGCAAATTTTTCAAAAGGCGCATGCCTGGGCTAAGGCACGAGGCTCATTAGGCATGCACCTTTTGAATGGGCTGCACCTAGGACCTGGGCGAGGCGCCTACCCTAAAATGCACCTCGCTTGTGCGCCTAGGCGCACCTGAGGCGCGCCTTTTAAATCACTATAAATGAGAGAGGTAGAACCATTAGCAAGGGTAGCTGTTTGGGATGTAGAAGACTGAGAAAGTGAAGAAAACACACTTGGAGTCCCAACCATATGATCAGAGGCTCCAGAGTCAATAATTCAGTGCGAGGGTTTGGATGCCAAGCAAGCCAAACCTGAATGTGCAAGAGTAGCTGTGTTCTGTTGAGAGGATGTTTGAAGAAATTTCTCATACTCTTCATGTGGGACACTCACCATTTCCTTCCTAGAAGCTCCAGTAGATGTGGAGGGTGTCTGATCTACTTGTTGGTTCTCACTCAGTGTTTTAAAAGCGCAAGGGCCAATTTGTGCCTGAATCACAAGGCATAAGGTGAGGCGCACACCTTTTTAAGCAAGGCGCAAAATTACAAAAAAAAGCTAAAAAATTAAAAAACGTCAGAAAATTCAAAAAATGCCAAAAATTTAAAAGAATAATAAACATAATGTTAATAAAAAATATAAACTTAAAATTTAAAATAAATGTTTTAAAAACCTATTATCTAAAATTAAAATGCATAAACATAACATGTAAAGTGTATTCAAATGAAAATTTAAAAATAAAAGCAAATACATAAAGCATTTTCAAGCATGTAAAACCCACAATCTCTTTTTTCACTTAATTGCATTGTTTCAAGTAGCTATTGTGATGTAAAACATATTGCATTCTCGATTCTATGAGTTGCCTTTGTACCATGCCCCTCGAGGCAAGCCCGAACAAGTCTATGTTAGGGTCTGAAATTCTTATTTCTCACATAAAAAATAATGATTTTATAACTTTCATTGCCTTTTAAGAAGATATTTTCTTGCAATGAATGAGTGAACAACATTAGCAGTGCTTAGGTAGTAGTGCATAAATTGGAAAGGCTTCAGAGGGATTTCCTATGGAAAGGTTGGGAGGAGAAAAAGAAAATCCATCTGGTCAGTTGGAAATAGGTTTGTACTCCAAGAGAAAAAAGGTGGTTTGGGGGTGAGAAGTCTGATAACTTTTAACAGAGCTTTAATGGGGAAATGGATTTGGAGATTTGCAAGAGAAAAAGATAGTTGGTGGAGGAGTTTACTTGCAGCCAGATATGAAACAGATAGAGGGGACTGGTGATGGTGTGAATGTTAGAAAACAACTAGTTATTTCCCCCTTGTTCATTTCAGCAGTGCTTAGGTAGTGGTGTGACATTTGATTGTCACTTGGCTCATAATTATATTTGCAATAATGCAAATTGTGCTGTATACTATCTTCTTACAGTACTTTGCTGTGAAAATGTTTTTATATCAATGTTTTGTCATGCTTAGTTCCATAGTTTACTTTCATGTCACTTTGATTGTTTTCTTATGCATGCAGTGTACCTTACTCTTATCATTGATATATAATGGCTTCATTTCCTTTAGATCTTTAAAAATTACATGATGATGGTACAAAATGTAATCTTGATTGAAAATTGAATGATGCCACTTTATTTGTAGGCTTTTTGATTTATCTTCTGGTCTTGAGCAACCAGAGCAGGAATACTATTTACAGCCAGTGCAACCAGGAAAATGCTGCAGTGCTGCATCAACCTGCCCTGTCGCATTTTCGTTTGGTGGTGAACATTTATGGGACAGGTTTAGTGTGAGTTCAGTTATCACGATATTGGAATATCAACTATTGTTTATTATTTGGTTGAAGTATTTAAGCAATCTCTTTACCATTATTTGTTGGTGTTTAACTATGTTTATTAAACATGCAGAAACCTGGTTAAGAAGTAAAAGCATTGTAATTAGAGATTGCAGAAATAAGAAAGAAAAATTAATCTGTCAAAATCTCTGACTTGGTTTTTCTTATTTAATGAAATTTGCAGTTATTTGATAAAAAAACCTCAGACCTGGTGATGAAAACAGTTGATTAGAGTTGCTGTAATCAGTAGAATAGCTTGAAGAGTGAAGTTTTAAGAACCCTTTGAATGTAAAGTTGCATATGAAAGGAGTAAAGAAAACAATTTAGGAATGAAATACTATTTATAAAATAATACCCTTCTTACATTGAATGAATAATTTCCCTTACATAAGAACACAATTCAGGGGTTGGGGGAACATAATAATCTATGGGTTATTCACTTGGAAGCATTCTCAGGTCCCATTAGGGACTAGTAAAGCCTTCAAGTGATATGCTTGATGTACTTCAAAAGAGCAGTAATTGAAAGAGATTTCAAGTTGTTGAAAAAAGGAGATGTTTTCAAGAAAGATCACATTCTGAGAAATCCTTTATAATCTGGGCTATAACCAAGCACATGAAGCAGACTAAGCAAATAACTTAGTATGGTCATAAGGAGGAAGATGCCCAAAACAGCTTCATCTAAACACATGTAGCATAGAAAAAGTTAAGAGGAGATTTGAAAAGAGACTGATGTGGTAGCAGGACAAATTACCAAGAACAGATGATGGAAGAAGATTGATGAGATACACAACAGTGTTGGTTACCTCCACCAAAAAAGTTGTTGGAGCATGGGGATCCACAAGAATGGTCCTAACAACACTCAAAATATGGCCATTTTCGAGTTCAACAACTACATTTTGTTGAGGAGTGCTAGAGCAAGATCTCTGGGGTTGCATACCATGTCACTACAAATAGGTTTGACATTCCCCATCAATATACTCTTCCCCTAAGTATGAATGAAGGGTACAAATAATATCATTAAACTGTGTGGTGACCCTGTTTCTTTTACACTTGCAAATAGTCATTCCAGTCTACGCCCCTTCCCCTTTGAATTAAAGTAGATGAAGGCAAACATCTAGATGAAAAAAGTGAATCAAGTTTTTTTGCAAAAAGATGGCCTAAACAATGATGTCATAGGTTCCAATCTTTATTACAAGACAAAAACCGGATACTAGCAGTAGTAGAAAATAAGCAATAAGAACTAGTAGCAAGAGAAGTTGGCTTATTCTGAAATCCCAGTGCAAATAGTTGTCCCAATCTACGTCCCTTCCCTTCACCTCCTAATGTGCTGGTTCTGTATCAAACATCCATCTTGTGAGAAAGTGACAGTATGACCATGCTCAACAAGTTAACCAATAGATATTATATTAGTGGTAAGTTTGGGAACAAACAAAGTTTAAGGCAATAAGAAGGGGGAAGAGTAAGAGTAGATCATTACAGCTAACTATACCAAGTTTCTCATTGTCGGCTGTAATTATATGCTTATTAGATGTGAAGGGGTAAGAAGACTGACCACAAGTGGCCCCAATCATATAATTGGAGGTGCCAGAATCTACGATATGCTGATACAAAGATGACTAGCAGATGAACAACAATTGGTAAACCCACCAGACATGCCAAAAGCAGAAAAAGCAGAGGAAATTGTTGATGACATGAGTTTCCAAATCTTCTCTCCAGTCATAACACTAGAAGCATCTCCCTTTATCAGAGCAGTAGATGATGATGTGGCATCTGATCCCTTAACCGAAGTCTGATAGGCCCTGTGTTGATTTTTCTTCTCTGATATCATGTCAGTGCAGTTCAAACAAGAGAAGACAAACAGATTTGTGGTGTGTCCAGTGAATCGACCACACCAAGAGAAAGGTATTTGTATTAAAAAGAAATAAAAGGACAATTCTGTCCTTATGTTACAAGAAGTAAAATTACACTAACACAACAAAAGAATAAAAGAATGTGTACAAGAACTAGTAAAATTACAACTTTAACCCTCACTGTCTCTACAGTTTAATTAAGTGGCAAGGTCCACAAATGCACATTTAGGTAGCTGGCTAGAGTGGGTGTGGGAGAGAGTCTGTATTGAGGTACACCAATTCTGAGCTTCATTGTACAACAATTTCAGAATCTAGATCACTGAGATTTAATATCTGCTCTCTGTTGCTTGTCTCCCTATATATATTTTCTTTGCAGTTCTGAGAGTCTATTTATCACCTCTGTGTCTCTTGCTCTTTTTAAGATTTTGGAGCATTTTTTTCTCTCTATTTGGTTTTTAGTGGCATGTAGGGGTGATCACAGGCCAGGCTTAGCACCTTTGGCCAGGACTAGAAAATTGAATATATTATATTTAGTATATATATGATATACAATATATGCATATAATAAATGATGTGATATATAATATACACATTATGTGCTCCAGGTTGGCCCCGGCCTAGACACAAAACTTAGGCCAAGCTTAAACATTGTGGGCTGGTCTAGAAATGATCACCCCTAGTGGCAGGTTGCAGCTGACTTTGTGAACATTTTCTCTACTTTCTCCTCTCCAACAATCAAAAGAGGGAAGATCATGTGGAGGTGTACTGGATCTGCTATTCTATGGTCAATTTGGGAGGAGAGGAATGCTAGAGTTTTCGAAGACAAGAAGCGTTATCCAGAGACATTGACAAATATCATAAATTTCAGAGTGGCCTATTGGACTCTTACTAAGGATGAGTTTACCGATTTTTTAGTTGATGATGTTACGAGGGTTGCAAGCCACTGCAGGATCTTCTAGTAGATGGCAGATTCATGTACAGAATTTGTCCCTTCCAAGGAGCTATGAAGTTGATGACTGTTCTTTGGGAAGTCCAGGGAATTCGGGATTATTGGTGCGATTAGAGGCTCTAATGGAAAGATTCTTTGTGTCTACTCAGATCCATCTGGTGATGTGATTGCTATTAGTGCAGAAATTGTACCTTTATTGCAAGGGTTGAGACAAATGTATTCTTCAGATTTCTCAAGATTGGAAGCAGATGGAGATTTAGAGACTGTTATTAGTTGGATGAATGGTGAGGAGGGTCTCTGGCAGATGTGTTATTTTATAAGACAAGCTAGAGACCTTTCATCTAGGGTGATCATCTCATTCATCTATATCAGGAGATTACTAATGAATTGGATGATAGTTTTGCTAGATCTAGAGTAGATAGAATAAAGATATATTTAGGAGCCTCAATTCCTTAGGGACTAGTTAAAATATATGTAATGGGACTGCTTTATTGATGTTAGGGTATAAGAATAGGGTTCAGCCTGTTTTCTGAGCTCTATTTCTTTCTTCTTATCATTGTATTTCTCTTTTCTTGTCTTTATTAACAGAAATTTTGTTTTACTGAAAAAAGGTAAAAACAATTCCGGGTAGCCTGTACAATATATTGGACAGTTTATGGATGGTCAGCCTTGATTGGTTTGTTGGACCTGCAGCCCCTTCTGGCAGCAGGGCTGATGAGAGGCTTCAGTAGAGGAGCTATTCTAAGGAAGATTTGTCCCTTTGCCATCAGTTGGTGTCTGTGGCAAGACAGAAACAGCAGAATTTTCAGAGATACAACATGCAAATGTGTCATTTTTTGTTTTTGATCAGCAAGTGTATCATTAGAACATTTGAAAGGCAAGATTGAGCATCAGCTGGTCTTTTGGGCTTGAGCTTACAAGGAATTTTATAATTATAATTTCTCTCTCTCTCTCTCTCTCTCTTTCTAATCAGTGGTATAGTATTATATTTATTCTGATGTAAATCCCAGGCAGCTTTTGATGTAAAGGTATGCTTCCCGGTTGGTTTCAATAGCAGTCTTTCTTTTTGTATAGTTTTTTTGGAGGGTCCTTTCCCCTCCCTTTATTACAAATATCCATCTTTCAAAAAAAACATCTTTGCTGCTCTAGGGAAGAAACAAAGTGGGGAACTTACTGTCTCTCACTTGTGACATTGAAGAGCATTTCCATCAATGTGACACCCATTTGCCTACCATTTCAATTTCTTGATTTGCATGAGTAAAATATTCAACCGTTCAACAATGAAGAAAAACCTTATCCCTTAATTCTCTTCAAGATCCAATGCCACCTATTTGTATCTACCATCCATGAGGACTGATGTGACATTGTTCCTCAGCCTCTTGAGACTACCTTTCTCACATAGCTAACTAATTGAACATCCAAATCACCAAAAGACACATGAAATGACAAATCTGATGCACTGTGGATCTGTTGATTCTGTTGCAAGATAAATGCTACCAGGTCTGGACTTGGTTGCATGAAAATTAATATGGTGTTCTCAATTTCTACTAACATTTGTTATGACATCTTACTTTACTAATCATCTGTTCATTAATTATATGGTAGGTGTTATAATGGAAATATGCTTAGATTGCCATACCATATATTAATGATGAATTCTTTATGTGCCATTATGCAGGTATTTATTTTATTTTCTGATGGTTCTATCTACATTCTTTGCCCAGTTGTTCCTTTTGGGAGGTATTCCAGCATCACTTGAATCATTTGCTACTATGCTGATCATCCTAAAGGATACTTTAGACCCGTTTTGTATATGTTTTTTTTTTATTAAATGCCAACTGAAGTTGAGTCTTTTATTCTGTCAGTATCTACAGATGGGAAGCTATTGGAGAAATATATAATGATGCTCAAGCATTTGGGCTGAAATCATCTAACTCAAGAGCTGTTAGTAATTCTAGTCTGGCTATTGCATGGTTGGAAACCACATTTCCTGAATTATCTCACCAAGAAATGGAAGGATGTAATTTTCCAGCACTCAAAGCTCATCCATATGCACCTTTTGATGCATCCCTTACATTGCAGGTGCTTTTCTCCTTGAATAGTGCAGTAGAACTTCTATGGTTACACATGTGGGAATTTGGTCCTATGTTAGTTTATGCATCTATCTTTAGCTGCTATGAGCTATGTTAGATGAAATGCTAAATTTTTTTCCTACGTTATTCATTAATTTACAGTATTAATGGATGATCATGTTAAACTGTTTGCCGAGGAGCTGGCTAGGGTACTTTATCATTGCTTAAGGGATATAATTAGCTCTTGTCTTATTCCTATGATGATGTGGCTGTAACCTCTGTTGTCATAGTTTGGATATTGACTGAATTAATTTAATGCCAATCACAAAAGCAATGTAATTATTGGCTTCGTGAGAATTCAACTTCTAAGATGGATTTTTCTTTAATATTACTAGATACTCTTTAGGCCAAATTGTTGGCTTACCATGGGGTTAGACCAATCAAATAGATTGAACTGAATGACTCCCATTTCAGTATTTATCAATGTTTAGACAACTGGACCAAAGGTAGAACTATTTTCCCCTCTAGGTCATGGTTCATCGGTTCAACCGGCTAGGTGAGCCCAGTCAAACCGTGACATCATCATATATGTAATTATTATATGTAACATGCATAATTATATGATATGTACATAATAATATTAATCATATACATGTATACAAAATGCAGTTTTTGTTGTAGTTTAGCATTTTTAATATAAAAAATTAGGAGTTCAGGCAAAAAATGCACTTTTTGGAAAAATAGAGGGGGCAAGGTGCCTTTGGTTCCTTGGAATGCCTAGATCGTAAAAAAAACCCAAAATAAAAAAATGTCACCCTAATTGAACAATTGATCTCAAAAACCTCCAGAAGTTTGCATATTAGGTAAAATAAAATGATAACAAATTGGCTGGTTTTGTGAAACCAGGACCAGTCCACCAGTTCTTCAGTTGGATCAATTGGTTTGCCAGTTTTTGCTGCTTTTTTATCACCTCCGGTTTTTGGGGTATGAGTGTATGACCGAACTAGCCGGTGTTCATGGGTCTGATCCCGATTCTCTAAACACTGGTATTTGTTGTATTTATTATAGTTTATAGAAAACATGATTCTTGATAGAGCACAATGGTGCGACAAGATTTACGTGCCAACCTCAAATGGCTGGGATTAAGGCTAAGCTTAGTTGAGTTTGAGTTTGAGGTTTAATAACATCTAGAATTACATTTAGGATGGATGACAATAGAATTTAAAACCTTCTCCTTGTGGCCTTTTTTTTTCCTGCACATCCTTTTCTGATACCCTAGTCCTTTCAGTTTCAAAGGGGAACCTTTCCGGCAAAAGAGATTTGGAGCAAACCGATAGATACCTCCTAAGGTATAATCCTTCTATTGGGAAGCTTTCCGTTGGATGCAGGTTGGCTCTCCACAAGATATTACCACACTATTTAGCCCAAACTTTTTCAGACAAACAAAAAAGAGGGGAAGACTATTATGGAAGTCAGCCAGGGCAGCAACTATTTGGACAAATAGGGAAGAAAGAAATGAAAGAATCTTCAAGGAAAGGTGTAGGAGTTTAAAAGATATTATAGAGGTCATAAAGATAAAAATTGCTCACTAGGTAAAAAATTTGGAAGCATTCCAAGTGGTGACAGTAGGTGATATTCCTAAGAGCCTGGAATGAAGTAGCAAGCTCTGCCTTTATGAAAGACAAAATAATAATGGACTGGAAGCCTTCTCCAGTTCGCCATATGAATTTTGTTTCGCCAATCCATTCTATTTAAATCCATATCTACTGTTAAATAATTAGTGCTTAAATCATTTATTAATTGGAAGCTTCCTCCAATTAATAAAATAAAATTGAACTTGGATGGGAGCGCTTTGGGAAATCCAGGATTATCAGGAACTGGAGGTGTGTTCAGGGATGCGATGGGAAAAGTGGTGGCATTGTTCTCTGGGCCAATTGGAGTAGGGGACTCTGCAAGAGCTGAAGTTTAAACTTACACCAAGGAATGAAGATAGCAAAGCAATTTGGATTTCAGCATGTGAAGATTGAGGGTGACTCAAAATTGGTAATCTCTTGGATGAATGGCAGAAGCCCAGGTTTGTGGATATACAAACATGTTAAAGAAAATGGCAAATGGGATGGCTGATTTCTTTGCTAAACAAGGGGTGTATAGGGAAATTTTTAGGCAGATTTTTGGGGTTTGAATACATTTGTAACAGAAATCCGCTGTAATTATTTCTTTTTGAACTGACTGAAATGAACTGAATACTGATAAAAAATGATGCAACTAGAGGTTCACCACCAAACAAAGTCAATGAGAAAAACAAAAAGCAAGTAATGCAGCAGGTGAAGGAAGAATATAGTAGCAAGCTACAATTCAATTCATAATGTGCAAATTCAATCAAATAATCCCTGCCTTATCTTCATATACCAATATACCATTAAATCAGGTTTGGATTAATTCCTGTGGTACATTCAATGGCCCCTACTTTCAAAGGAAACACCCACAAAATGGGTAGCCACAGATGCAACTATAGGAGAATGGCAAGCTGTGGTTAGTCATATAAGACAGTAGGGATGTCAGTAGGTAGGGTTTAGTGGTAAACCCATTATTATAGGGCCTGGTCAGGCTTGACCAGGTTTTGGGTTGGGGGTGACCTGTTGACGTAGTAGCATTTAAACATTTGCAAATATAGCAGTGATTGAGTCTAGGTATACTATTTATGGGACAACTCAGGACAGGCCTGGGTTAGAGTAATTTTTTGCCAAACCTGATCCATTGACATCCCTTACGGTAGGTAACAGCATAGTTGTCAAGGCGACGCCCTTTGAGGCTCGCCTTGCCTAATCGCCAAACAGTTTTGTACTATGTATTATAAAATACTTTTTTATTCTTTATTTTTTGACATTATAGTTATAAATAGGCACTATTAAACTAAAATATTCATTTTTTGTCTTTATATACTGATTTCTTTTTATTATTTTCTTATTTGTTAAGGTTTAATCAATAAACATTGCTAAATGCTGTATTGAACCCCCAAAGATTTTAAAACCTGAACCAATAAGTAAGGAAGAACTTAAAATTTTGTCCAATCAACACATTTTCTTTTCTTCTTTTCGTATAACAAAAGTAAGGGTTCAGCCCTTATATTTTTTGAATTTTCTTTTCCTTCTTTTTCTTCTCGTGAATATGTTGGTTTTCTATACTTTAACATGAACTCTATACTTTTCTTATGAAAATTATGAATAATTATTAAGGAAATATGGTTATGGTACCTAGGGAACTACCCTAGGTTCTTATGTTTTCTACATAAAAAATCCACCGCCTAGGCGACTAGGCGACAAGGTGCCCCCCTGTTGCCTAGCCTCACCTTGGTGCCTTGAAAACTATGGGTAGCAGAAGAATAGGAAGCACCCAAGAGTGGTTCCATCAAGCTTAATTTTGATGGATGTTCTTTGAGTAACCCAGGCCAGTTGGGGGGAGGTGAATTTAGAGGGATGATGGCAAATTGTTCCCAATCTGTTCAGGAGCAATCAGTGTCGGAAATGCAATACAAGAAGAAACCTTGTCTCTTCTTCTTCAAGGTCTAAAACTTGGTTTTCTTTGGGCTTTGAATGAGTAATTGTGGAAGGAGACTCTCAAGTTGGGCACTGGGCACTTAGATACTTGATTTGAGAAGTGCAACTGGTAGCATCCCCATTGAATAGTGACTGTTCATAGGCACACTATAGGTACATAAATTACAGTTACAATACACCTGCACACACACACACACACGCTCATCACCATCATCATCATCATTAAGCTTTATCTCAACTATATGGGTGGGCTACATGAATCCAGTTTCACCATTTCATTCTGTTCAGTGCCATATCCATTGGGACTAGACCTGTTCATAGGCTGGGCAACCCGACGTGCTGGCCAGCCTGTTCTATATTGGACTTGGACAAATTTTTAAGCCTGTGGGGTTGGGCTTTCTCAAATAAACCTGGCCCAAGCCCGAGCTGGCTTGATAATACTATATATAACAAAAAATATAATATATTAATAATATTATTAGTAGCAAAAAAGCATTATGCAATATTCTATATATTATAATATATAGAATATTGTATAATATATTATTAATAAAATATAATTCATATATTATAAAATTTCTGTTCAGGTCGGGCTTTGGGATTTATATAGGGCCAGGCTTGGGCTCGGGCCTAGTCACCTTTTGTTTATAAAGAGGCAAAGCCTGGCTATGAACAGGTCTGGTTTTGGGCCTAGTCTAGACCTGTTCACAGGCTGGGTTTCAGGCCAGGTCCATTCAAAGTTTGGCAAAAGCCCAGCCTGAGCTCTGACCATGACTTGCTCACTAAATAAACATAGAATGAAGCTTTACTGTGATGATAGTTAAAATAATTACTAATAAAGTAAGACTAAAGACCACAAAAGTAGTCATTTACTCTTACTGTAATCCCCCATCACCACAATAGTCGTAATCAGGTATTGCATTAAAATACTTAATTAGGCCCTTCTGCATAAAAAAATCAATTTATACTCATTGCATGATAGCTAATAATAAGAGGAATAATTAATTTAAATGATCTGATCTTTTTCATCAACAATCAATGGTTGCCACCCATGAGAAGGGAAATTCCCTTCTTCCTCTCTACTATAATTGTGTTTTAATAAAAGATTTTATTAATTGAGAAGAGAGAGAAAGAAACAAAATCTTCTCTTGGGTAGCCTTGGCTACCCCCCCCCCCCATTACAACTTAACAAACTAAAATACTTAGAATTTTCAATTAAAATCTTCTCTTGTGTCCTGTTGACACCTTGCTTTGCTAACTGATCTGCTAGATATTAGACGACCTTGGGATCCAATAGAATAACAATTGCATGTTCCTTGACTGTCTTCTAAACTTTTTGGTTTCATTTCTGAAGTTCCATGGAGCCTTTTCATTTTGTTTCAACCAGCTTATGACTACTTTTGAGTTTCCTTCAACTATTAACTCTCTCACCCCTATATCTGATACTTTTTGCATCCCAAACACCACTGCACTCATTTCAGCTATTGTGGAATCCCCAGTGCCAAGAGGGCCTGAATATATTATCAAGATTATTCCACTTTTGTTTCTTATCACCCCTCCTATAACAGAGGAACCTGGATTACCTTAGCTACTTTCATCAAAGTTTAATTTAATGAAGCCATTCTCAAGTGGATTCCATGACCTTAAAATTTTCTTCTTTGAAGAGGATGAAGCTGCAATTATCCCTCACTTTCTGATTACATCATCAAAGGTAAGTCTGAGAACAAACTCAAAGCGTTAACCCAATGTGCCACCTTTACCATAATCCCTTGTATAAAAGCTTACTTGCTTCTTTTCTTCTCATCAAAGATTCTTATATTTCTTTCCTCCGAAATTGTCCAAATCACTGCTGCCCTCATGCATCTCCATAATACTCTCCCCCTCCTTTTTGGCAATCTGAAAGTAGAAGGATCAAACAACCTATCCAAACTATTTGGGGTGTTCCACCTGCATCCAAAGAGAGAAAAAAACTAATCCCAGATACAGAAAGAAAAGGGGAAGGAAATAAGATGATAAGCAATTTCACCATTAGATTCCCACAATTAACACCAATACTAGTTCAATATATTCATTTTCCATCTACTGGCACAGAAAGAGAAACGGTTTGTGTTTTATGTTGGAAACTGCCTTGTCTGGAAATGTTCAGCAAATGTCCTCTGTGTATCAGTTTTTCCTCATGTTGCTGACAAGAATTTACCTTTTCTTTCTTTTGTTTTGATCCAATGCACATCAGTTTTTCTTGTTGCTAAAGGTTTTTTTCTGCATGCTAATCTCACACTGATGTCAGTAACTTTTTTGTTTACTGTTATAAGGGGACTAAGAAATCTTTTTCTTTCAGGGGCCTCTCCGTAAAGTATGCCATGGTGAGGAAGAGGAAGATTCTGGAGTTCGAGGTGCAGTATGTGAAGGTCATGCAGTGGGTTTTCTTTATAATTCAATCAGCAAGGATTCAGTTTTGGTAACTGCCTGGAGCAGTGGACAGTTGCAGATAGATGCCCTAGCTGATGAAATCCAACCAGTCTGGAATCTTGATAATCGGCCTCGAATTTCTGTTGATTCTCATGATCATATCATTGGACTTGCCATGATTTGTGAATCAAACCCAGAGGAGTTTTCTATTGTGAAGTTCGACCAGCCACTAGATCACACAGTTTGGTTAGGACATCCACCCCCTCTATTGAGACTGGCTGTTGTGGATTTGGCTTTACCTAGGAAGGTAGATTATGGATCTCTTCTTTCATTGTTTGCTGATCCCCTTATCCCAGAGAGAATATATTGTGTCCATGGTGGTGGAATAGACTCAATAGTGCTCCATTTTCTCCCATTTACTAGTCAGATAAATGGGAAGGATGAATCCATGGGGGTTCCTTCTGTGCATCCTGTTCTTAATACTTGTCTGGAGGAAAGCTCCTCTCCATCTCCTCTTTGGGGTTTTGTAGCACTGGCAGATTCATTTGGGTATTCATGGATTGTTGCAGTCACCTTATCTCAAGAATGTATTGTGCTAGAAATGAAGAGTTGGAATGTGTTGCTTCCCCTTCATGTTGATGTGGGCAAGAAACAGATTGGTTCAGAAGAGATTCCAGAAGTAGACACTCCTGATATTATAAGCAAAGAGCTCCTTAGCATCCCTAAGGTGGATTTTGTTCCTCAGGCTTCACCTAACCTGCGCTCCATGACTGCTGATTCGATTGAAGGCCGATCAACGCTTCATAGATACTTCAAACTCTTCCATGAAAATTATGTGGAGTATGCACACAAGGTAAATAAATGACTCAATTCATGTCAAATATTCTTTGTTATCCTAATGGTTCACTTCTGATGAGAAAGCCAATTTCATCTAATTAACCCTTATCATTGTGATATGATTATCTTCAAATAAGGTGTCTAGTCTTAATGGTACTGAACTACTGATTCTGATATCAAGTCAATACAAGATGCTTAGGTGTTTTTTTCTTATTTTGAATGGTAAAAAGATGCAACTTCATATTATAATGGAGGAAGAGATGCTGTCATGAAGGATTGCTGATACAACTGATGATCCTGATCAAAAAGCAATAATTTCAAGTACTATATATTTACCAAAACTGAACTAATTCCTTCTCCATGATAATTCTGTCACTGGTTACTGAAGTGATGACTTTGGAAACCTTCAAACTCCTTGTTAATGCTAGCCCAAAGGATAAGAATCATCTTCACCTTCTCTATCATAGCTTTTTTTGTAACCATCTTTATCATAAAAATTCTGCTATTGTGTTCAGACCAAATTGACCAACAAAGGGCCGATTGAATACACTTCCAAAGTATGATACAACTCCTGCTAAAACCTTTGAAGGGACAGAAAGAGGTAAGGGTAGATATATCCTTTGGAGCCCCCAATTAAACTCCAAACAACTGCAAGAAGTGAGCCCAAATGCTCTATAATAGATTGTAGTGATGCATAGGTTCTTTAGTCCTCACTCAAGCAACTCTTATTATCCAGCACCATACTCTTAGACAGTAGGTGATTAATTGTTAAGAACTCTGTCCAAAATCACAGTCCATAAGATACTTGGAAGGAACACCGGCATTTCTTATCCACTTCTCTCGTATGTCTGCATCCCACTGCTCTATTAACTTCTTGTAAAAAGACCAACAGAGAACAGATCTGAACTCTCAGTTGTCTGCCATCTCCGGTCTTGAGTATTATTTGTGGATTTCCCTGGTTGATCTCCCTGAGTACTTGGGTGTTGGTTACTTGGGGACAGTCTGGACCTTGTTTGGAGTAGTCCTTGTTTTTTATAAATTTACAAATGACTGTTTCTCAAATAAAAATGATGCATAGGAGAGGCCTTCTTTGGTGTTGAGTGAGCCTTTTGCTCATTTTCTCATATATGCAGCCTTAACCCCCCCGGCCCGGCAAACCCACATGAGAAAACTTGACCATGTGCTGCCTAAGCTGCACCGCTTTTGGAGTGGATGTCTTGTTTTCTGAAGCTCTCTTCTTAACATTTTTAGGTCTTCTTTGAACTCAAACATCACAGCGCTCAGCTGAAGAGAATTATAGATGATCAGCATTCTCGTTTACATGAAGCACAGCAGAGGCTTATGAATGTTGAGGAGAAACAGCCAAAGTTGGATGATCGGGTAAATCATGCAGTTCAGGTGCATAGATTTCTGGAAGAGCGTTTATTGCGCTTGAGAAACTTGCCTGGGCCCCATAAGAAATCATTATCTAGAGCAGAACGCCAGTTCAAGACAGAACTAGGTACTTGAGTTATTTTATCTGATGCAATCCATTTCTGTTGCTTCACTAAAGATGAATTTTCATAAATTGATATTTCATTTTATGTCTATTGCTGCTGCAGAAAACCTTCAAGATCTGGAGCTGGAAGCTTTGCGTTCTTCTATTAAAGCTCTAAATACAAGGTTGAAGAGGTATGCTCAATCTCCTCAAGGCAGTGCATCAATAATGCCTACGAGGAAGGCCCATGTGCCTGATTCCCAGGTCTCCCACCTAAGATCATTGGTTGAGAAGCTTTCACTCGTCAATACTGACAATTCAAAAAAGGTCAAGCTTGTTGAATCTGCATTGAGGAGTCAAGAGAGTGGCAAGAGATATGATATGCATCTGCAGCCATAGCTAACTTTTTTGAACTGCCTGGGTTGCAAAGTCTATTTGAGTCTGTTAAAGGGAGGCGGGCATGACTGGCAAGATTTGTGAGTTGCTGCAAATGCCAATATTGTAAATCATTTCTTTACTATTAGTTACAGTTGAAAAGTGTGATAATGAATTCCGTTGTTGTAGGGCCTTCAATAAACCAAACCATACATATTAGCAGACAGCCCAGTAGTGTATCTTGAACTGTTTCTTCTCATTATTAGCAGCGAGCACCAAAGGGATGTACCACCGCCTCTTTGTATTATATGCGTATCTTGAACTGTTTATTCCCTTACTAAGCGAAGGGTGCTCTTTTTTTTTTAAAAAAAAAAAAACCTTGGCTACAAGAACCGGAGGGCAAGGTTCAAAATATAGACGTATCGTATTGGGGGCTTCCCGATACGCCTCAACAGAGGGTGTATCAGGGTTTTGACCGATTCAGGGGTGGATGGATCTAAAACCGGCCCCTCTGAACCGGATTTGAAAAAAAAAATAAAAAAAAGCTATCTATACTGTCCAATATGCTTTTACTCGAGCGTATTGATATTTTAAACCTTGTCAGAGGGCTAATCAAGCAGCAGAGCCATAGGCAATATATGATTATGGCAAATGCTAAGATGGTTTCCACCTTCCAGGATAATGGTGAGCCTAAGCAGCTGAAATGCTTCCTACTGAATTCAACATTTGGAGGGAAGGGTGAAACTCTCTCAGTTTGGACTGCACTTGAACGTTTGATATCCAACTGGACCAACTCTTATTTTATTCTTATCCTGAGTTCTGACCACTAATGGAAAATAAAGAAGGAAAATTATCATCGGGAGCAGAGTTGTGGCCATTGTAACGTTCAAAGTATTGTTACATATTGCATTGCATCATCGATACGTGAAATAGAAATACATAGAAATGATAGTTGACAAAGGCTTGCCATGCCAAGACCTACATGCTTGATAACCTCACCATCAAGAAGTATTTTGGTTTTGTAGCATTGGCATTGATTGAGGAAAAATCCAGAGCAGGAGCAATACCAGTTACTATGCAATTTGGGGCCTCATTTCACTCTAGATATAAATGAATTCAAAACTTCAAACGTAATACTTTCGGTAGTTCAAGGGCATGGTAAATCCAAAGTATAGATGCATCAAAACCAAAATATAGTTCAAATTTAACTTCTATGACCTGGCACCAAAACCAAAGTATAGATGCTAACAAAAATTGTGACATGATGCCTTTCATTGTTGGAACTTGGAAGTTGAGTACCTTGGTGGTTTAATTATGACGTGCCCCACATTTCATCCCGATTGGAATAGTCCAATTGCAAAATTATAACCTTAGCTAATCACCGGATTTTGAGTTGACAACTATGATTATTGGGAGACTCATAAAGTCATAATCTGAAGTTCCCATGAATGTCGATTAAAATGATAATTCAGCCCCCATCAAATCCTATAAAGTTTCCCATGGAATTGTCCTTAAAGGCTCTTGGTTGGACTGGATAGAATCATTAAAGAATATTTTTTGTGGTCAACATTGATCTGACATTTTGGCAAAATTCAGGTTTAGGGCTTTTGTGGGACATCCCGTGTCCTTCAGTCTAAAGTAGTGGTCTACCATGAATTTGGCTAAATGTTTAGTCTGGCAACCAACTTCACCACAATTACATTAAAATACATTTTTTTTTTTGAAATTATTATATTGCCTTTGTGTAGTTAGTACCATCCGAAAACATTTTCAGTTTGTTGCTTCATTTGTATTCCATTTTTGGATAAAATGCTGATCGTTTAAAATCTGATCAGAACTATAATTGTAAAACTTTATAGTGAACTTTGTACATTGCCAAGATGGTTGCCCTCAGCTGATGTGAATAAAATTAGAAAAACAAAATCAATAGTGAACTTTGGGTATTGGCAGAGTAGATCATACCACTTCGTTGGAAACTGTGGCCCTTAAAAACTTCAATGTATCAAGAAAGGTCCTACTTTGGCATTCAGACAGTAAGGTCCGACTGTCCCAGCATGCTGGAAATCTCAACTTTTGATAATTGCTCAATTGGAATCCCCCTTTCTACATCATTGAGCACTACTATCATCTTCTCTGGAAGTTGAGGAATTTGACAGAGCATGCATAGACAAGAAAGAAGAATATACAGAATCCTATGAGCACTGCTGCAGAAACACCAATCATCCCAGAACTGTATCCGAGACTAACCTCCAGATAATCCTTCACAGACCCCTCAAACCCAGATCCAACAATATAGGTCTCCACATCACCAAGCTGGGAGGATATGATACCTCGAAGAGTCCAAGCCACAGGGCAAATGTAGTGAAACCAGATCCACCATCCAGGAATATTCTGAAAATGCATAAAGCACATGAATGAGAAGTTACAAAGTTCTTTCAATTATTTATTTCCTCATAGATAAAAAAATGCAGTGTCAACAGATAAAGCTTTGGGATGGACTTAGTTGTACCAACAAAAAATGAATACTCACTGGTTTTGGGATAAGAAAACCTGAGAGAAGATTCCATAGGGAGTAAAATGCAGAAGAAACAACAGCAGCGAATTGCTGAGAAGGTGTCAGGCCAACCGCCATCATCCCATAGAATGTAAAGTAGGTGAACGTGAGGAACATGAACAGAAGGTATAACAGAAGCTTTCCTGCAAAACAGGACACATGCTTGATGCTTATATTGAACCATTATTTTCCATACAAGTTGGCTACATTACAAATTTAACCAAAATATGACTAAGAAAGTTTGAGGCAGTGACTTGACAGGTGAAAGATGGGAAAGAATTTCTGTTAAATTTGGGTGGATTCTATAGAAATCTTTCTATTTTTTTTCCTCTAGGTTGCCTATTGGAAAACTATAAAAACATTATAATGGAAAACCAAAAGGATGGTTTCATAATCTTAGAGATATAAAAGGCTGAAGAATCAAAGGGTTGGATCGTTAACTATGATCCTCCATTACATAAAAGGAAAGAATACTACTTATATTTAGGTTGTACAGTACAAGTCATTAAAGTAACCAGTGCAAATTGATTATAGATTTTAAGTGTAAATAGGGAGGAAAGTGTATTAGTCAAAACTAGGGCCAACAAATTTGGTAAGTTCAAGGAGAGTTACTGGATACATATTTTGTGCTTTAAAATTTTGACAACATTACTTATTTATAGCAAGAAAACTTCTCACTGCACTGCTATGTTCATAAAATAAAGACATGTCTATACATATGTTTCAATTTACTTGATGATGTATATTGACATGTCTAAACCCATCTCTCTCAAACTCAACATTAAAAAATATTTACCTCAAGTGTGTGTGAAAAACCCAATATATTTGTACTTCAATAAAATGGAAACAGATAGAACTTGCTCAAATGAACTTCCACCAAAATAATTAACCAAGCATAAGATTTTTACTTTTGGAGTAATGAGAGAAATTTAAATTTACAAAGAAAAAATCTTGAAACACATGAAAAAGGAAGGAGAAGAATTCTGTGGGAATATAACATCTCCAATGGGCAAAACAATGATCCTTCAAGAGTTTTGCAAAACAATTCTATGAAGTCCTCCATGGATAAATGTTTTCGGAACTCCTAGAAACTATTATTTGTTATTCATTCATCATTCATCTTCAAGCAAGACTTGACTGGGTTCATTACTTCAGTTTACCCACACTGGGCTTGCACATGAGTGGGGGGCGAAATGATTTTATTTTTACACTTGTATTTTTCGATGGGGGAACCAGATCTTAAAAAGTAAGGTGAGATATGTAAATAACTTATGAAGAGTTTGGCCTCTTCTTGACTCAAAATTTAAAATGATCCTTGAAAATAATATGACATGAAAGGAACATAAGATTTATAAAGAGATGGAAAGGCAAGCTTTAAATTCCATGGCATAAGGGTATCAAGTATTACCTATTGTCCTTTCAAAATTGACCATGAAGTATGTTATAACACCAAATAATATTGTTTGCATGGCAATGTAAGGTAATTCAACAAGACCCTGTTGATGAAACATATATAAAAATCACGAATTATTTCAGAACTTGGGGAAGAAAATAGAAAACAAAACTTCATCCAATCTTAACACTCTTACTTGTGCTGCTGCATAAGGTAATGGTGAGTACATTCCAGCTGCTTTTTCTCTATAAAAAACCGTTCTCTCAATAGAAATTACTGGTTGTACTGAAGAAGCATTATTAACTCCAAGAAACAAGCAGGAGGCATAAAGAGCTCCCATCACCATAAATAAGTCTTGTGTTGTGCCCCTGCAAAATATTTAGAAAATTCTGGTTAATAACTCTGGTGGTCTTTTTTAACACCACAAGCCAAAGAACCAAGAAAAAGAATGAAAGCTATATTTATTTAATTCTCTCTACATGGCCAATTACACTATTCAGGCCAATCATTTGCCCACCTCTTGTGTTTGTTTAAAGGTGAACATCTTGTTCTCCCTTTTCTAAACTCTACCAAATGAAGGGCTGTTATATTGCAAAGAAAATAGTCTGTAGATTGTGTCCTAATGTCATATTTACAATCTAGAGAGCATACTTAGCTCATATTGTTTCTTCTCTCTTCCTAAAGTTATTTGCTATAATTACAATTTTTTGTATATAATATAAAATTTATATTTTATTTTTTATATAATTATATAATATAATTTTATACATCAAATATGTGTTATGAAATAATAGGAATTGGATTTTAATCAAACCAGATGGGCTAAACCCAGATCCAAAATCCAATTATTAATTGGATGCAGATTATAAAGTCCAAATCCAATCTGATTATGTAAATGGGTCATCTGAATCCAAAATAATCAGAACAGATGTTGAATTAGGTTTCGGACTTCCAAAGTCCATTGGTGGCCCAAAAAAAGATATGCCATAGGAATCCTACCCTTTTAAAAGCCTAGAAGTTTAGGTACAATCCTACAACTAATGCAAAAATATGTGGGCAAGTGCTGACCTCTAATGTAGACCTATATGAATGCTCTTTATCTCACCTATATATGTCCAGTAAGAAATGTAAGTGAAGATCTTTTTGAGCCAATACTTCAAAATAAGAAGCAGGAGTACTAATCCTTTGTTATTCATTCTTGATAAATATAATAAGGCTAATCTAATATAAGAACTATGCCAGAGAGAAAGAAACAGTTAACATCTCATAACACAATAAGAATGCTTGAAAATTATCCATCAAAGATAAATGAAAGGGAAGAAAGGAATCACCTTCTTGAACCAATATTCCAAAAGACAGAACCAAATA